TGTTTGGTGAGAAGATTTAGTTACTCGTCATACCTTGGTTTCCCATAAGGTGACCCTCAGAAGTGAACGGTAGCTGTTTGAACACTGTATGAACAAGCTTATGCCATAGGGCACTACGTCAAAGGGAATAAGGGTGATTCTTGGTGGAATAAAAAGTTGATCCCCACCACACCTATAGGAATGGGAGAAATGCATTGAAGAATAGAAGAGCTAAAGGACATGAGTTGATAGGACACCGCGTGGTGGTACAAAAGTTAAAAGGCACTCCAGGGCAGTTCTTAGAATAACAGAAGAAAACTTGGTTCAGGTATTTGCTGAAACTTGAGAACTGAAAAAACATAATGTAAACTTCGTGTAAACTTTATCATCTAGAAGTAATAAACCTCAACAGAAACTGGGTAGTAGTCAAGGACCAACTTCATTTCCCTTCTTTTTCTAAGTGTCATCACGCATAGCCCTTCAATGTGCTTGCTGAAAAGATTATAAACCACCTGTGGGGCTCGGCCAATTTCTGCAGCTCCCAACCTAGGCCTTTAACTTGTCCAGCTTCACATTTACTAAAACTAAAAACCAGCACCAGTATATCCTAAAAATAAACTCAAACCGATCACGTTCTTTCGTGAGTCAGATGAACTACAAGGAGCTAAACAAGTAAACGTTCCTTTTTCTTTTGAAAGCTATGAACTTTCTCTCACATAAGGACATATGATATGTAAATTAAAGCATGGCCTAGCTCCCAAATCCTGCTGCTTTTCCTGAAGTGGTTACTAGATAGGTGCTGGTCTTAGAATATAAACAAAACCTTTCGCTTTTAACTTAGAGAATTCGCATTCAAGTTTTCAAAGGGAAGGGGTAGTGGCCCCCAGGGACCACTGTGTTTCTAAAGAATAAGAACCTCTTGATTAAAAGATCAGATTTGTAAAACAAAACCAAGACCTCATGCAGCTTCTGACAACTGTCTCTTCCCAGTTCTATGAAAGGGAAAGCCCCTGGCCTCTGATCTCTGCTGTGTTCTGCGGTAGAAAGGGAGGGACGATAGTAAGTCATCCAGTGGTCCCTTCTCTCTGTTCTCTTTCTCTTCCCTGCATCAAACATCACCCCTTTT